TTTTTTTGGTACCGGGGATCGAACTTGGGTCCTCGAGCTTGAGCAGCAGGCGGCGAAACCACTGAGCTAAATCCCCAGCCCTCTAAAAATGTTTAATTTTGACGAAACCTTATTTACCTCCTTTTTTCTCTTTTTGCCTGTGCTTTTCGCATCACGTGGCAGAAGTCACGGGCAGATCTGCCATCCATCACGGGCTCTCCCTCGTGCCTTGTGTTCAGAGTTTTATAGCTTCAGCTCTGGCGTGTAGGTCTTAGGTTCATCTGGAGTGAATTTCAGGGTAGAGTTTACTCTGATGCGAAGAAGGAAGACACAGAGCGTGGCCTGAAGAGATCCCAGCTTTGCGCAGTCCTGGGGTGGAACTAGATCATCCTGTGACTGTGAAACCGGTGGATTCAGAGAAAGAGAAACTGATTTGTCTTCTGTAACCCGACCTCTACAGTCCAAAAGGGAGAGGAAAGCGATGTGACAGGCAAAGGGTGTGGAGAAGAAGGTGGTGTTAGTCCTGGGATGGAAAGGTAAGTGAAGGTAAGTACTTGTGTTTACAAGTATCCCTGACCCTCTCGGGTAACCTGGAGTGAAGAGAACTTGCCATTTAGCCTAGTGTGGTGGTGGCACACACCTGTGATCCCAGCATGCAAGAGGCTGAGGCAGGAAGAACGCTGCGAGTTCCAGGCCACCCTGGGCTCCATAGTGAGACTCTTTCTCAAAAAACAAAACAAAAAAGATTACTTACCATTTGGGCTGGTTGTGTAGCTCTGTGCTAGACATCTTACCTGCATGTGCCAGCCACTGAGTTCGATCCCCGACATGGGGGGGTGTTTACCATTTGCAGGCCCTGATTCTGTGCCTTTCCTGCCAAGAGCTCGGGATTTATCCTCACGGAGAACTGGATGCAGGTCCTGTTGATGCCTCCACTCATTAGAAGTTAAGAGACAGGGCTGGGGATTTAGCTCAGTGGTTCTACTGCCTGCCTCAAAAGCGCAAGGACCTGAGTTCAATCCCCGGTACCAAAAAAAAAAAGAAGTTAGGAGACTAACAATGGGGTGTGAGGTAAAGGCGGAGCTGGCCTGAAGCTCCTTGTATCTCAGCCCAAGGAAGGTGACCTGAAACCTGGAGCAGAGCTGACAAATTCCAAAGCCCACAGGGACCAGACATGGAAGACGGAGCCAACTGGAAGCGGGGTGATGGGGAGGGGGGCCCGTGGGGAACTGCAGAACCCATGCTCCTCAGTCCTAGGGGCAGCAGCCCCCATCCAGTGTGGCAGAGCTCCCGATGTTCTCTCTCTCTCTCCACTGCCCCTCTCCGGGAACTGAACGGAGGGAGCACTGTGAGCTATGTGCTCAGCCTTTTTTGTTGAAAAGAAGGCCAGGTTCTCACTCAGTTGCCCAGGCTGGCCTTAAGCTGGTGATCCTCCTGTCTCAGCCTCCTGAGTGGCTGCCATTACAGGCAGCGTCACTCTACCCATCAGATCTTCTAAATTTCTGAAAGAAGACAGAAGTTGGGTTTCCATAGGGCTATTCCAGATTTTCAGAACATGTTGGCCAAACCAAAGTGGTCTTTGAACCAGATATGACCCACAAGCCACCAGTCTGCCACCATGACAGACTGGAAAGGGGAAGTGGAGGCTTTGGAATGAGAAAAGGAATTCTTCATGTGGGGAATGTAATTGGCCTGTTTGGGATCCAGCACTCAGGAAAGGTCGGTTTTAATCAGCATTTAGAAGAAGAAGGCCTCTGCATTCTTTCACTGTGCCCTCCCCAAGCTTCTTTCCTAAATTGGGAGCTGAAAGGCCTAGGACAGATAGATAATCTCTAAAGCCGAAGGACAGGAAATTGTAGCAAAACCCCCAGCTTTTCACACAGTCTAATTTTACCCATGATTATTTTATTTTATTTTTTGGTACTGGGGCTTGAACTCGGGTCCTTGCACTTGTAGGGCAGGTGGCAGAACCACTGAGCTAAATCCCTGGCCCATGATTATTTTAGAGACAGACTCCTTGAGCAGCTCCCAAGATCCTCATCCACCTTCACTGAGGAGCTCAGCAACTATTAAAATGTAAAGCATACACATCCCAGACCCAGGACTCTGGGAGGCTGAGGCAGGAGGGCTGAGGGTGAAGCTCAGTGCAAAGGCCCTGGGTTCAATTCCCAGTATCACAACAAAAACAAAACAAAACACCCACACCTACCATGATGCTCAGCTCCTTGGAGCAGCCAATGGGAAACTCAGAGCTGAAGGCTCTTTTTGCAAAAGTCTTAGGTTCTGCTTCCCAGCACAGGGGGGACCCGGCTCCCTAGGAGGCAGACATGTGATGTGAGCTTTGCTGTTTGTACAGCTGGTCACCTGGGTCCAGAGGAAGCAAAGGCTGGGGAGGTGGAATGGAGGGGAAGAGGGGTGACAGCTTCGAAGAATTTTTCTTTTTTTGAACCAGGGTCTCATTATATAGCCTGGGCTGGCCTCAAATTCACAGGATCTTCCTGCCTCAGCTTCCTGAACTCTGTCAAAGAATTTTTTTTGTTTGTTTTTGTTTTTGTTTTTTGGTACCAGGGATCAAACTCAGGACCTATGCGCTAATGAGGCAGGCGGGCGGAACCACTGAGCTAAACCCCCTGACCCTTGTCAAAGAATTTTTTTTAACACCCAACAGATGTCAGGCTTCTCCCGGAAGATCTCCCAGTTTCAAGTGCTGTGCTTTTGGGCTCTGGAAGCGGCTGCAGGCTGAGCCTCCCCTCTCTGGCACCAGGAGCGCCCCCGAGGGATGGAGAGAGGTCAGGGCAGTCAGGCGAAGGTTAGGGAAGGAAAGCGACTCCAGGAAATGTTTGTATTTCTCCACCAGGAGGGAGGACAAACAAGCTTTTTTCCTGCCTGCTGGGTAGCTGTGTGCACTCTCCAGCACTGAGTGAGTCTGGAGGAAGAGAGAAACTACAAATACAAATTACCTGGGTCTGGGCCCAGCAACTCCTCCCAGGCTTGAATCTCCTCGGGACCGGTTGCTTCCCAGAAAATGAGGACTTTTTGTGAAACTGGTGCATCTCGAAGCCTAAGCCGGGCCCGGCCACAGGCTGTGCCTGTCGGGGACACAGGCAGCTGGTGACTCAGGCTAGGGAGCCAGGACCTCCTGGGGGCTTTTGTTTTTCAGGCTGCAGTTTCCCTGCGGGTGCTGTGGCTGCACTCACCCCTATGTGCTCTGGCCGCTCCCCTGGGCACCAAAGTGGAACCCACCAGCTAAGCCATCGGTGGCCTCTCCGGGACTCCAGGAGCCACTCCGCACACAGGACACCTGCTGTCTCCACCATGGACAACGGGTCGTGCTGCCTCCTCGAGGGGGACCCCATCTCCAAGGTGATGCCGCCGCTGCTCATCCTGGCCTTCGTGCTGGGAGCCCTTGGCAATGGCATCGCCCTGTGTGGCTTCTGCTTTCATGTGCAGACCTGGAAGCCGAGCACTGTTTACCTTTTCAATTTGGCCGTGGCTGATTTCCTCCTCATGATCTGCCTGCCCTTCCGGACCGACTACTACCACCGACACAGACACTGGGGCTTCGAGGACGTGCCCTGCAGGCTGGTGCTCTTCATGCTGGCCATGAACAGGGCCGGGAGCATTGTGTTCCTCACGGTGGTGGCTGTGGACCGGTACTTCAAGGTCGTCCACCCCCACCACGCACTCAACACCATCTCCAAGCGGACCGCGGTGGGTGCCGTGTGTGTCCTTTGGACCCTGGTCATCCTGGGGACCCTGTACCTCCTGGTGGAAAGCCACCTGTGTGTGCGGGAGAAGGCCATCTCCTGCGAGAGCTTCATCATGGAGAAGGCCAACGGCTGGCACGACGTCATGTTCCAGCTGGAGTTCTTCCTGCCCCTGAGCATCATCCTCTTTTGCTCCTTCAAGGTCGTGTGGAGCCTGCAGCAGCGGCGGCGGCTGGCCCGACAGGCGAGGATGAGGAGGGCCATCCGCTTCATCACGGTGGTGGCCGCTGTGTTCGTCACATGCTACCTGCCCAGCGCGCTGGCCCGACTCTACTTCCTGTGGACAGTGCCCTCTAGCGCCTGCAACGCGTCCGTGCACATGGGCCTCCATGTCACTCTCAGTTTCACCTACCTGAACAGTGTGCTGGACCCTCTCGTCTACTACTTCTCAAGCCCCTCATTTCCCAGATTCTACACCAAGCTCAATGTCTGCGGCTGGAGACCCTGGCGACCGGGACCAGAGCCTCTCGAGCCGAGGGAGCTCCCAGCTTCCAACCTGTGTCGAAAGAGTAGCATCACTGTGGCACACAGTTGCCAAAGCCAGCTGGACACCCAGTGGGAACTGCAAGTGTTGAATGGCACTAACACAGACAGGCCAACGGCGTCGAGGGGGACAGATGGGCCACCCTGAGTTAACCCGTGCCCGTGCACGGAGGACTTGGAAAATGCTGCCGCCCTTCCGTAGTGGTGTCCTCCTTCCCTCCTGCGGGAACTGAGAGCCACGTCCCTCTACCTTTGTGGAAGGTTCCAGTAGACTGACGTGAGTTTGTTGTGTTTCTGTGTTCTGACTGCAGTGGCAGGACAGCGTGTGACATGGAGGATGGGTGCGTTGGTCGGGGATTGCTCGGCCCCTGGGTCATTTTTAGCGGCGGGGGAAATGGTCTGCATTGCTCTGGGGGGAGCTAGTGAACTGAATGACTTCTCGGTATTTCTTAGCCTCTGACCCTCAGTACTTATCTTGGGAAAGAGAAACTGGACCAAGTCCATTCTTTGCTTTCGGCTGAGCGAGCCTGTCTGGACTGGGTCATCTGACTGCTGTTGCCCATCTTCCTCGTGCCCCTCTGTTCGTTTCATTGCCAACGTTGTGACTGCCAGGCAGCCCAGGAGCCACAGCAGGATGATCTTGCCTTCACCTCCGAGCGCCCACATTTTTCTGCAGATCCTTACATTTCAAAGGTGGTGCTGAGGGTTATGTTTTCCTGCCCTGGTTCCTCCACGGGAGCTGAGAGCTTGAAAAACAAATCCCTGTCGGCCTTTGAGTTATGCTAAGTCCAACCTCACTGCTTCTGGCTGCTTGGTATGTGAATGTGGACTGGACTTGTTCACTCGTTTTCCAAGTATTTACTGACTTCAGCATCGGGGGCCAGGCAGGATCCTTTTTATCTGTAGGACCATTGGGCAGCTTTGTGTGACAGCAGCTTTGGGGGAGCAGAGATGTTTAAGGCCTTTGCCCTTTCACTGAATACGGTTTCTAGACCTGCTCTGTGCACACTGCGGGATTCCCCTCTCACCGCAGGACCCCCTTAGGCACCCGCATTTCCCAAATCTGCTCTGGAACTCTCAAATCCAGATGATTCCATGGGATGACAGGCTGCTCCTGCCCTGAATTCAGGGAAAATGTTCCGCCCTAAACCTGGCTCCATTCTCCAACTGCAAAGCGGTGAAAGTTGCCCTCTCCGCCTGTATTTCTGTTCTCCAATCCCCAGGGTACGCTGTCCACACTGGACCTTGCCAACCTTTCATTCTTTTGCCTCCAAACACCCTCTAGGCTGTCTCTGCCGGTTCCTTTTCAGCCTGGCGATGAAGTGTGGCCCACAGAAGTTAAGGTAGATTGGATCCGAATCCCAGCTCAGCCACCATGCCATGTGTGATCTTGGGGCAGACCTTTTTTATTTTTTTGGACTGGGGATCAAACTTGGGGCCTTGCACTTGCAAACTGAGCTAAATCCCCGGCCCTGGGGCAGATTTTATTTACCCATTTTCAGTTTCAGTTTTCTCATGTCACACACAGGTAACAATAATACTGACTTCACAGATTCAAGGAATGTAGAGTCCTGAAGCATAAAGGGACCATTATGTCCAGAAAAACACCGCCATATAGCAAATGCTCATTAAAAGACTTGTTGAATGAATGTAAGAATAAGTGCATGTAAAACCAGAAGCTCTGTGTTTTACATAAGTGTTCAATGTTATGACTTATTACATTAACACATTTCACACATAAAGAAACTGACGCAGAAACCGGGTGTGGTGCAGCATGCCTGTAATCCCAGCACTCGGGAGACTGAGGCAGGAGGATTGTCTTGAGTTCAAGGCCAGTCTGGGCTACAGAGTGAGTTTAAGGCCAGCCTGGGCTACATAGCGAGACCCTGTCTCAAAAAACTAAAAAGAAAAAAAAAAAATCCACACTGAGGGACAAGTGATTTCTCTTGTGGTTCAGAGTCCCTAAGTAGCTGCTTCATTATCACAACCTGGATTACCTTATTCCCCAGCTACCCAGGAGGTGAAGCCAAGGGTTCTGTGAGTGTCTATGGACAACGTGTCTTCTTAATAGAAATCTGTGAAAATCCATGCTTCTGCTTTTAATCTATTCTTAGTTACAGTTGTTTCCTCGGCCACTCCTTTGTTGCTTCATCTTAATAAACACGGTTTTGAAAGAACACGTGTCCTGTGTGTGACTGACTGGCTTAGAAGACTTCTGGAATTTTGCCCCCCGAGGAAAGCACGGTGCTCTCGGTCTCGAAGCTCAGGTAGAGCCAAAGCTCAGGCAAAGCCTCGGACAGAGGTTCCCACTGAAGCAGCAAGAACAAATCAAAAGGAAGAGGAAGCAAAACCTCAAGCAGGGTCTCGATTCACAATTGACTTCCCTTTTTAAGTTCACAGAATGCAACACAAATCTTACCAAGAAGCATTTTCGTTTGTAAGGAGTGGAGCATAGGTGATGGAGCTCCTGTGCAGCTACCTGGAACAGGAAAGGGCCAGATCTGGCAGGAAGGGCTCCCTTCTAGGAAAAGTCTCAGGCAAGCCGAGGGTATTGGTCCACGGGGCCAATGTGGAAAGGAGAACCTTTCATTTGTGCTGACAGTGGTAAAAATTTAAGTGCTGGTCTGTTCTCAGGATGGGGTTTTTAAAAATCCTTGATTAATTAAAACCTAGAATGTTAAAAAAATAAAACAAACCTAGAAGGTAAGAAGGTGTCTGCAGTCAGCAGGTGTCTGGCAGAGCACCCTGGAGAGGGTTGGATCTCAGGGCCAGAGGGGAAAGCAGTTGTCAGGATTTCTGAGGAGGCAGCCAGGTGAGGCGGGGACCCAGCCCCACTGGGACGAAAGGTCCTGATCATCTGGTCTGGGCCTCCTGAGCCATAGCAGGCTCCAGGGTGGCTCAAGACCCTGTCACAAGGCAGCAGAGAGCCCCGAAGGACCTGAGGTGTCATCTGCAGGGCTGGATGCAGGATGGAAAGGCAAGGGCCATTGTTGGAAAACTATTCTGGATTTGAAGAGGGCATCAACAGGGCATGAACCTAGCACTTCCGCGAGGCTGGCTCTAAATGGAGAGAGAGAGGTGGGCTCACACGTGGGTGTAATCTACATTCAGCCTCCCCTCTACCAGCCTTCCTTGTTTGCTTGTTTATTTGTTGTTTTTTTGAGACAGGGTCTCCCTTTGCAGTTCAGGCCGACTCGAACTCATTATGTAGGCCAGGCTGGCCTTGAACTCCCAGCAATCCTCCTGCCTAGCCTCCTCCGGAGTGCTGGGACTACAGGTGTGTCCCACCATGCCCAGCTCCAGGCCTTCCTTGTTTAATCACTGAGTTCCATGCCTGAAACTATGGCCCCCTGTGATCTGTGCTCCCTGCTACTCCCACCCTGTGTGTCCCCCTGCTGGGACACGGACTGGCTCTGCAACCTGCTTTAACCAATTCGACATGGTGGGGACGGCGGCCAGGCCTTTCTGTCTCCTGGCATTAAGCAGGGAACCTTGTGGCTTCTGGAAGTCCCATGTGGCCCACAGATGGCATCCAGGCTGCCCTGTGGAAAGAACATGGACAGAAGCCACATGGTAAGACCGCATAGAAAGGCCAATTGAAAAAGCCACATGGAGCCAGGCATGGTGGTGCACACCTGTCATCTCAGTTACTCTGGAGGCTGAGACAGGAGGATCATAAGTTCAAGTCAGACAGGGCAACTTCAGGAGGACTTGGTCAAAATAAAATTTTTTTTTGGTACCAGGGATTGAACTCAGGTCCTTGTGCTTTCAAGGCAGGCAGTGGAACCACTGAGCTAAATCCCCAGCCCTCAAAATAAAATTTTTTTAAAGGGCTGGGGTATAGCTCAGTGCAAAGGCCCTGGGGTCAGTCCCTAATACCAAAGAAAGGGAGAAAAAAAGTTGCACAGAAAAGCCACATAGAGAGGCACAATATTCTATGAAGCAGGAGAGGAGCTAGTGCCATGCTTATCCATCCCTGTGACCTTAGCCCAATGCTATCAAGGGCCCCACATGAGAAGCGTCCAGCTGATCCCAGACAACCCAAAGGATCACACTTGGTTATCTGAAGCCACTAAGGTAGCAATGGATAACTAAAACAGGAATCCCAGGTTGCTCAAAGACAGGAAATAGCTAAGCACTTACCATTTCTAAGGCTCAGTTGTCCAATCTATGAAATGGGAATGATGATAACAACAGTGTCGCTCCCATAGGGCTGTGTGACAGTTAAATGAGGTCACACATAGCAAACAGCTGATGAATGACAGCTGTAGTGTGTGTGTGTGTGATGCTGGGCACATTCTAGGTAAGCTGTCTACCACTGAACTACTCCCCCAGTAGCAGTTCAATACTGAATACATGCAATTTGTGTCACGCACCTATAGTCCCACCTGCTCTGCAGGCTTAGGCAGGAGGATCCCTTGAGCCCAGAGTTTAAGGTCAACCTGGACAAGAGAGCAAGACCCTGTCTCAAAAAATAGTTGAGTCTAGTCCGGCACACCCTCCACCTGTGGGAGGAAAACCAAACGTAGAGAGTAAGGTCCTTGGGAGAGTCACAAATGTGGATTGGAATTTCCACCAGACTCCACGGAATCGCCACCTTAGCCCTTGAAATGATTCATGAAAACAGGTTTCTGTACAGCTCATCCATCAGTAAGAAAGAAATAAGTGGATAAAAGAAAGACCCAAGCAAGACAAAACCTGCCCGCTGTACAGTGGGAAGACAGGAAATTCCCTAACACCCGGGTCCAGGGAGGTGTGGAACTTCGTTCTCCTGGGCAGTTGGGAACCTTGGTTTGGAATCAGACCTCGAGACCCTGAAGCAGGGAACTCGGAGACTGCTAAGTTCCTCAGTTTCCCAAAGAGGAAGCCGATGGGCTAAGAGACTGTGCAGCTCATTAACGACAGAGGCAGAGCAAACCCCGGCTTGTCTCCTTTCGCAATGTTTGCTAATTTTATCCATGTTCACTGCTTAAAAAAAAATAAAATGGTAAAAGTGAGGAAGGAAGGTCTCTTGCAAATTCTAGCTCCCAGAAATAACTACATCCACAGTTTTCTGGACTCGCAGTTAATAAAGCCCGTAAGGATTACTCCGGGGATGTCAGTGAAGAGTCCACATTTATCCAAGGAGAAAGCTTGTGCTCAATGAGTAAGGGCAGGAAAAAAATGCCAAGCATTTCAGTAGTACAAGTGCTCGATATGACCTCCAACCAGTGCAACCTAATAGGCCAGGCAAGACGCGCTAAGAGGCAGGGTAGTGTAGTGGTTAGGGACACGGGCCTGAAAGTCAGTGCCAGATTCAAGTCTATGCTTTTCTTTCATTAGCTGGATGAAGAGCATATTATCAACCTCTCTGAGTTTCACTTTCCTCATTTTGAAATCAGATTAGCGGGGTGTGGTGGTGCACACCTGTAATGCCAGCACTTGGAGGCTGAGGCAGGAGGACTGCTATGAGTTAGAGGCCAGACTGGGCTGCATAGTGAGTTCAAGGCCAGCCTGGAATATGTAGTGAGACCCTGTTTCAAAAAACAAAGAAAGAGGGCTGGGGATTTAGCTCAGTGGTTTCGCTGCCTGCTGTGGAAGCGCAAGGACCGGAGTTCAATCCCCGATAACAAAAAAAAAAAACAAACAAAGAAAGAGGGCTGGGGATTTACCTCAGTGGCACCATGCCTGCTTCTTTTTTTGGAAGGGGGGGTACCGGGGATCAAACTTGGGTCCTTGCGCTTGCGCAGTAGGCGGTGAAACCACTGAGCTAAATCCCCAGCTCACCATGCCTGCTTCTTAAGCAAAAGGTCCTGAGTTCCATCCCTGGTACCAAAACAAACAAACACAAAAAAGAAAAAGGAATAAGATCAATGACAGTCCTTCCCTCATGGCCTATGGTCCAGAGGGTACAATAAGATAACATATTTAAAATGTGAGGCCTGAGGTCCCACACACTGGAACTTCTGTAATCCAGGTGCTGTAATGATCTTCATCTTCATCATCATCCGATTACTGAGTGCAGGCACACAACTAAGGGAATATATTTCCAATTTCTAACTCAAAGTACAACAACATAATTAGAAATCTCATGCACATAATCCCAGCTACTTGGGAGGCTGAGGCAGTAGGATCACAAGTTTAAGGTCAACCTGGCTAAATATAAAGTTCAAGGCCAGCCTGAACTGCATAACAAGACCCAATCTTAAAAAGTAATAAATAAAGGGCCAGGGATTTAGCTCAGTGGTTCCGCCACCTGCCTGGAAAGCACAAGGTCCTGAGTTCGATCTCCGGTACCGAAAGAAAAAAAGAAAAGAAAGAAAGAAAAGAAAAAATTCATGAGAGCAAAATATTAAGCTATAGGAACGTTCTACAGGATGACATCCAATACACTAAAAAAATTTCAAAAACTGATGTCTTGCAAGGCAGAGCTCAGTGTCCTCTTAGGTCCTGCAGCTCTAAATTTAATTTTACAAAAGTGGGCGCTTTAAAAAAAAGCATGTGACCTGCGATGAATGTGATCAGCATATACTGCAAATGTGCACTAAGAAAAAACTTTGTTTTTGTGAGACAAGGTCTTCTTATGCAGCCCAGGCTGGCCTGGAACTCACAGGGATCCTCCTGCCTCAGCCTCCTGAATGCTGGGATGACAGGCATGCGCCGCCACACCTGGCATCCTGGCATCCAGCCCCCAGCCCAGCATTCTTTTCTGACTAGAGACTGACGGCAGAATTCAGTGTAGAGAAGCAACCCATGTTTGCACAGAGCAGTGGCTGAGAAAAGGGCTCAGGTTCAGCACATCTGTCCTCCTAAAAGGAGCAAGGGCTCTCTGCTCCGCCTTCCCAAAAGCAATCACAGGCATGCTGCTCCCTCCTAATGTCAGATCCTTGCTAATGTTTCACGCTGCTCCTTAGATTTTCTGGAAAACCATGCTGTGGAATGGAGCATTGTTCTGACTGCCATGGTAGACCTGTTAATTATGTCATTCTAGCGAGTGGCAGTGAGCTCCATTCTCCAGTGCTAAGCCCTTCATCACGAGCACACACAGCGCTCCGAAGGGATGTCCCCTGGATCTTAGTAATTCATAAATGCCAGCCAGCTTGCCCAAACTTATCCTTTACATTTAGAAAACTTGGTGAGTTCCTGTCTGCTCAGGGGATTTTATTGCTTGTTTATGCAAACAGCAGGTTGCATAAGAGCCTTGCCAGCTTTTTCTTTTTTTTTTTCAAGTGATTTCGTAGTTTCCTGGTAACCATTCAGTCATCTATTTCAACACCCCAATGACATAAAGTTGAGGGCTGAGCCACACATTTGCCACACAGCCAGCCTCTCCCAGAGCACTCGAGAGCAAGCAGGGCGCCCTGGTGCGGCCTGGCCTGACCCACTCATGAGCGGTCAGGACCACTTTCTGGTCATCCACGGCAAGAACTGCTGTGTCTTCCGAGACGAATGCATCGCCAAGGTGCTGGCGCCTGTGGTGGGGCTGGAGTTCGTGTTCGGGCTCCTGGGCAACGGCCTGGCCCTGTGGATTTTCTGCTTCCATCTCAAATCCTGGAAATCCAGCCGGATTTTCCTGTTCAACCTGGCCGTGGCTGACTTTCTCCTGATCATCTGTTTGCCGTTCCTGACGGACAACTACGTGAAGAAGTGGGACTGGAAGTTTGGGGACGTCCCTTGCCGGCTGATGCTCTTCATGCTGGCCATGAACCGGCAGGGCAGCATCATTTTCCTCACAGTGGTGGCCGTGGACAGGTACTTCCGGGTGGTGCACCCCCACCATGCGCTGAACAAGATCTCCAACCGCACGGCAGCCATCGTCTCCTGCCTGCTGTGGGCCGTCACCATCGGCCTGACAGTTCACCTCCTGCACAACTCCATGCTGACCCAAAATGGCTCTGCCAAGCTGTGCAGCAGCTTCAGCATCTGCAACTCTTTCCGGTGGCACGATGCCATGTTTCTCCTGGAGTTCTTCCTGCCCCTGGCCATCATCCTGTTCTGCTCCTTCAGGATCATCTGGAGCCTGCGGCAGAGACAGATGGACAGGCACGCCAAGATCAAGAGAGCCATCAACTTCATCCTGGTGGTGGCCATCGTCTTTGTCATCTGCTTCCTGCCCAGCGTGGCTGTGCGGATCCGCATTTTCTGGCTCCTATACACCTCAGGCACACAGGACTGCGAAACATACCGCTCGGTCGACCTGGCGTTTTTCATCACGCTCAGCTTCACCTACATGAACAGCATGCTGGACCCCGTGGTGTACTACTTCTCCAGCCCGTCCTTCCCTAACTTCTTCTCCATGCTTATCAACCGCTGCCTCCGGAGGACGCCAGGGGAACCGGATAACAACCGCAGCACCAGCGTGGAGCTCACTGGGGACCCCAGCAGCAGCAGAGGCGCCCCGGATGCGCTGATGGCCAACCCCAGTGATCCCTGGAGCCCCTCTTGTCTGGCCCCCAGCTCGGATTAAATAATGGGGCAATGGAGAGAGAGACTGTCACCAAGAATCGAGACGGCTGGAGGGACACATGGTAACATCAACAGATAGGCCTGGGGTTTCCTGGAACTTCCAGATTCAGAGAAGCAGATTTAGACAGTGTGGCAGAGTGGGCGACGACTCGGCTGCAAACTGTGACCACAGAAAGTTTGGAGGAACAGAGAACAAGGCTTTCAGTCGGCTGAAAGTTCTGCTTCAACTCTGACACCTGCAAACAAAGATGAATGAATTGCCCACGTTTCTGTTGTGCAGTCAGAGCTGCAGCCCTGCCCTTCAGCACCTGGGCTGCATGGCTCCTTCCTTCCCCTGCCTGAGACTTGGACGATCCTCAGGGAGAGCCAAGAGACTGGAGGAGAACCGTGCCGTTCAGGAGGGGCCCAGGCAGCCCTAAGAAGCCAAGAGTCACCCGGTCCCATGGCCCAATTCACTCCCAGCCCCGAGTTGGAAGAAATGGACGAGGCAGAGATCTGTAAGCTTCCAGTGACCTCTGAGTTCCCAGGGGTGGTGAGAAGAGGGTGAGCCCCAGGAGGGACCGAGCTGACCAGTGTGAAGGGACAGCAGTGGCCCCAGTGCTACGAGCAGCAACTGATCCATCCCGCCCTTGTTTACATTCATTTGAGGGCTGAGCAGCAGGAGGGCTGCTTCCCACCTCTGTTTGCTTTTATCATTAAGAAAGAGGGCCGGGGATTTAGCTCAGTGGTTTCACTGCCTGCTGCACAAGTGCAAGGACCCGAGTTTGATCCCCAGTACAAAAAAAAAGAGAGAGAGAAATGTGCTGCTCCCTCAACGACAGTTAGAGGGGACCAATTCCTGCCGGTTCATTTGCTTGTGTTTCTGTTCTTACAATAAATCTACTAGTTCAATAAATTTTGAAAGGAGACACAGTGTGGCGTTGCGTCTATCTGGGTTAGGGTTCACGGGAGTGGACGTCTTACTTAAACGGAGACCGTTATGGGCTGTCAACTCTGTCCTGGTGGGAAAATCCTGTACCCTGCAAAGTGAGTCAAGTCATGAGACAGAAAGCAAAAATTACACATGTGTCAGGATAGGAAAGGGCTGAGAATAAATAAGAAGAGTGTAATTCAGAAGGGCGGGACAGGTTGGCTTGCAAGAAGAATGTCCATTTGACTTAGAGTGTGGGGAGCACAGCTCTTAGCATTTGTGTGTTAAAAGGGGAATCAGAGCAGAGTGGGATCTTCCCACAGGAGGAGGAAGAGCTTCCTGCGCAGGTTTCAGTTCCCCGTTCCGAGGTGGAAAGGAGATGTGCTGGTTTGAGGCTGTGCTCCGTCCAAGTTTCTGTTACGCTTTTGTTTCCATCCACTGTCACTCCTGATTCCAAGCAAGACAAGGCTTGCTGCCACCTCCCCATGCGGACACAGATAAGGATTTAGGTCCTCCGCCTCCGGGCTGGTGCCTGGCGATAAATGAAGTTTCTCCTGTTCCTGAGGAGTTCGCCCGTCTGGATCCCGACACAGATCCTAGAGGTGGCAAGGAGAGAGCCGAGTCCCCTTCTCACGGAAGAGAAAGAGGAGATGAGTCCGGGACTTCCCCAGCCTCCGGCCTGAGTCAGCGGAGAACGTGCAGGAAACCTCGATTCTCAGGGCCCCGGGTGGCAGCGAGGTGCTCTCCTCCGCTCTTTGATTCGGGGATTCACCAGGTTTTAGGGACTGAGCAGTGACGAGGTGCTAGGAGCTGTTCTGGAGGGTGGAGGCAGGGCAGGGGTGAGGATGGCAAAGTCCGCACATTCCGGGCAGCAGGGCAGCAAGGGGCGAGGTGGAGACAGCAAAGCAGTGTGACGTGGACAGGGAACCGGTGAGGAGGTGACCCTGAGCTGAGCTCAGAGTGCCAAGTCACAGCAAACCACAGAGAAGTCTGGGACGAGCGGTCCAGGCAGAGGAGTGGAGGCGAGATCAGCTGGATGTGCGTGGGTTTCCTCTGGGTGCCTTAACAAAGTACCACAGACTGGGCGGCTTAAGACAATAGAAATTAAGACCCTCACCGTTCTGGAGGCCAGAAGTCCAAAACCAAGGTGTTGGAAGGCTTGGTTCCTTCTGGAATTTTTTGTTTTTGTTTTTCCACTACTAGGGATTGAACCCAGGGCTTCCGCACTGATCCACATCCCCAGCCTTTTATACCTTTTCTTTTTTTTTGGTACCGGGGATCGAACTCTGGACCTTGTGCTTGTGAGGCATGTGCTTGTGAGGCATTTCTTAAAAGGACCTATACCTTTTAAGAAAGGGTCTCTCTGAGTTGCTAAATTGCGTGGGCTGGCTCAAACTTATGATCCTCCTGCCTCAGCCTCCAAGGGTGCTGAGGTTAGGGTGTGCATCACCGTTCCTGGCCTTCTGTGTCTGCCCCGAGCTTTCTCAAGTCTGTGACTGCTGGGATCTCTGGGGATTCTGGGCTGTGGACACGTCACTCCCATCTCCGCCTCTGACCTCACTTCTCTCCTGTCTGTCTCCTCCTCTGTCTCTAAAGACAGCTGCCACTGCAGTTAGGGTCCGCCTAACCTGGGAAGACTGCATCTTAACCACACCTACAAATACCTTATTCCCAGTAAGGTCACACTCTGAGATTTGGGGTGAACAATTCAACCCACTACAAGGGACAGAGAAGAGGCCAGTGTGGCCGGCACAATGATGTGCGGCCAGCTACAGGGAGAGGTACAGAACTCTGTCGTATGAAAACAATGAAAGACTTGAGAAACAGATTGCGCTTTTTTTTTGGTACTGGGGATCGAACTTAGGACCTTGCGCTTATGAGGCAGGCGGAGGAACCACTGAGCTAAATCCCTGGCCCCAGATCACTTGTAAATAGAAAAGAGTTCCAAAACACAGTGGGAGCTCAACTCTCTCTTTAAATGCGCACATCTGAGCCGGGATGTAGTGGCACACCTGTATGCCCAGCACTCAGGAGGCTGAGACAGGAGGATCACAATGAGTTTAAGGGCCAACCTGGGCTACAGAGGGAGTTCGAGGCCATTCTGAACTACATGGTGAGACCCTGTCTCTAAATAAGTAAGTCATAAATAAATATGCACGTCTGTGTAGAATGTATGCACAAAACAAGAGACTATGGGACAGACACCAAAGGCTCAGTGCTGATTCCCCCGGTGATGGAAGCACAGGTGATTTTCATTTTCCTTTCTGGGATTTTCCTCTTTTCTAAATTGTCAGCAGTGGTGTGTATCACTATTGTAATTATTTATAAAGATAGGCTGCTGGGAAGAAATATCACATTTAGTTCTCATCAGCTTTCAGATTATCAGCAGTAGTTTTTAAGAGTTTTTCCTTAAATATTTCCGTTTCCTGACAACATCCACGAAGATGGGAGCAGGGCTGGGTGGGGCTCAGTGGCAGGGTGCTTTCCCAGCATGTACTTGGCCTGAGTTCCATCCTCAGCAGCATGAATGAATGAATGAATGAATGAATGAAAGAATAAAAGGTGCAAACCAATGGTGTGTTCACTCGGTCTCAAATTATGTATGTGTGTGTGGGAGATTCCAACAGACAGAGAGAGAGAGAGGAATAAAGCTGTCCTCCGTACCCACAGCTCTGCACCCTCGTGAGCGAGGGTCAGGCAGGAAGGACAGCAGTCCCACAACGGAGTGGGCTGAGCCAGGGAGCTCACAGAAACACATACCAGGTGCCCCATGGCTGTTGGGCCTCCCCAGAGCAAGATCAGGCAGCCATGGACTCAGAGGTACGTGGGCCCTGCGTGGGCACTGCCTGGGTTGGGCCCTGAAAAGTATGCAGTCTCCTATGGGGTGGAGATCACATGACCTGCACAGCAGCCCGAGCTTCTGTCTAAACCTCTCAAAGACCCCTAGGCAAGGAGCTCTGGCAGGTATCCTGCTCAGGACCCCTCCTAGCTGGCTGGAGCTCTACTTTGTCTTTGTAGCTTTTAAATAAATTTGTTTGACACCCCCCCCCCCCCGCTTCTGTCTGTGGTTTCATTCTTCATCACTGTGGGACAGACCCTAGGGTTCTGATAACACTTGGATTCACACAACCTCTGACTGAAAAAAGGGTTTGTGTGTGAGTGCGTGTGTGTGTGTGTGTGTGTGTGTGTGTGTGTGGTACTGGAGATTGAACCCAGGGCCTTTATACTGAGCTACATCCCCCAGGCTTTTTCTTTCTTTCTTTCTTTTTGAGATAGGGCTCCACTAAGTCATTAAATTGCCCAGGCTAAACTTGAACTTGGGATTCTCCTGCCTCAGCTTCCCAGAGTGTTGGGACAACAAGCCCCCATGTATAGCTAAAAATACTTTAAAAAATTCATCTGACTGAATATATACAGATTTTCTTGCCATTATTTTCTAAACAATATAGTATGACAATTATTTACGTAGATTTTATACTGTGTTAGGTATAAGGAAACTAGGGATGCTTTAAATTATATGGGAGGATCTGCATATGTTATATGCAAATATTATGCCTTTTTTTCTGGAGACAGGGGCTCACTGTGTAACCCAGGGTGACCTTGAGCTCATGATCCTCCTGCCTTAGCCGCCTGAATGCTGGGATTATACATGTGTACCACCAGGCCCAGCTTCCCCACCTAACTTTTTATTTTGAAAATTTTTAAACCTGAAGAAAAACAATTTGGATAGGACAGTGAAGGACTCACAATCGAAGAAAAGTCACATTTCCCATGTTTGTCATTGGGTCACCATCAGTGGTCACATCTAAGGTTTGCTCCATGGTGTGGGGTCAAAAGGGGGCTGGGAATGTAGTGCAGACACTGTGCTGAGTGTTACGCAGAAGGTCTCGCTGCACCCTTCCAATAACATGATAGGATAGGTGCTGTTTCTTATTTCACAGATTAAGGGAATTGAGGCCTTGCAATCTTGGTCGTGTGTGTGTGTGTGTGTGTGTGTGTGCGCGCACGTGCACGCGCACATGCGCTTTTTTTGGTTTTTGAGATAAGGTTTTGCTATGCAGTTCAGACATAACCCTAACCCTAAATTCACTATGTAGCCCAGGCTGGCCTTGAACTTGCAGCAATCCTCCTGCCTCAGCCTCCAGAGAGGTGAAATTACAGGTGTGTGCCACCAGGCCCAGCATCTTGGGTAACTGTTGAAGGCCATGCAACTAGTAAGTGATGATCCGAGAGAACAAACTCTGGCAGGCTGACTCCAGAATCCTTGCTTTTAAAGTTCCAAGAACATGAAATGTGAGAGATGAACTGGGAAAACCAGAGTGAAAGCCTGGCCCATTTGGGGTATTTCCAGAGCTACCCAAGCTGCCCGCCTTTCAGCCCTTAGGCCCCTCCTAGGCCTGGCCAAGATCCTGGCCACCTGGTGCTGGACCTTAGGGGATGCTCTGTGGATTCCATTTTCCCTTCCCTAAAGCTCACTTATGGTGACTTCCTTCTTGGCAAAGGTTCTCCTTGTCTTTCTAAAGAAGCCACCATCACCTCATAAGAAGGCAGGGCAAGGATGTTCACTGTGACACTGACTGTAGAAGTCAAACACAGGAAGCAACCTAGATGTCCATTAGTAGGGACTAGATAAATGGACTTCAATACAGTCACCCAGTGGAGGACTATGCAGCAGTGAAGAAAAGTGAACCAGGGCTACTTATATATGCAAGACCAAATATTGGATATAAAACTTACAGCAGGGCCGGGGGTTTAGCTCAGTGGTTCTGGCACCTGCCTTGTAAGCACAAGGTCCTGAGTTCGATCCCTGGTACCAAAAACAAAACAAAACAAAAAAACTTACAGCAAAAAGAAAATCAGCAAAACATGCAAGCTGGGAGTACCCTCATGAGAGGTTGAGGCTGTGGGGCTGCAAGCCAAGACCAGCTTATTGAGACCCTGTCACAAATTAAAAATCAAAGAAGAGGCCAGAGATTTAGCTCAGTGGTTTTGC